GATTAGTGTTTACCTGGTGCTTAGGTAGGAGAATAGGGTGAAGGTGAATGGGAGTAATTGCTAATAGATGTGGGTTTCAATTGTGTATGATGTGAAATGTTCCAAAATAATAATGTAATGATGATTGTATAAGGAGTGCTGGTGATATTGTAAGTTAGTGCTGGGCTGTTAACTGAAAGGTCAACAGTTAGAATCCATCAATCTCTTCTCAGAAGAAAGATAAGGCGATCTACTTTAACATTTATAGCCTTAGTGACTACTTTAAAAGGAATCACAGTAGAAAATCTTGGGTAAAATAGGGGCAAATGTGGACAAAACTTCAAAAGCATAAAAAAATTCAGGCTTCCCAGCAATAATGACAAAGTTCAACAGGGCAGCAAACAACAGATGAAATGCTGGTGGGCTTATGGAGAGATTGGAACCTGTATTCTCTGCTGGTGGGAACATAAAATGGTACAATGACTATCGAAATTGGTCTGGAGCTTTATAAAAAAGCTGGAAATAGAAATATCCTTTGATCCAGCAATTATGTTACTGATAATATATCCTAAAGAAACCAGAGCCATAATTCAAACAGATGTATGCAAACCCTTGCTTATTGCTGTGTTATTCACAATAGCAAAAAAGATAGAAACAACCCAAATGTCTATCAATCAACAAATGAATGGAGAGAAAAAAAAATACTGTGCAGCATTGAAAAACAACGAACTTGTAAAACACGACACAACACAGAGGAGACCTGGAGAACATTATGCTGAGTGAAATATCTCATCACAAAAGGACAAATACTGCATAAAAATCACTGTTATAAAATAGGACAGACATGAGGGTTTGGGGAAAGAATGGGAAAACAGTGGATAGATCATGAACACTGCATTAGAACAGATGAGGGCAAGAACTGTCTGACAGGAGTATATGATTAGACATTATATAACAACAATGCGGAACAAGGGCTGCACTGACAGGTGGGCTGAGGAAGGGGGAAGGGAAAAGGAGAATAAAATGTGCAATAATAAAAAAAATTAATAAATATAAAAAAAAGGTCAGGCTTACTGGTCTGATAGAGACTGGTGGAACACCAAGACTATGGTCCTTAGTCAACACTGAATTTGGAGCAAAACTCACCTCTCTGGCTCAGCTCTTAACAAAATAATTGTTATTAAGTGTCATCAAGTCAAGTACTACATGTAGTGAGCCCAAGAATAATCTGTCTTATCTTGCACCATCCTTATCATCCCCAACATATTTGAGTACATTGCTGCAGACACTATCAATCAATCTCATTGAGAGTCTTCCTCTACTTCTTGACCCTCCACCTTTACTATCATAAAGTCCTTTTTCCAAGAAACAGCCTCTCTTAACAACATGTCAAAAATATGTGAGATGAAGCTTCAATATCTTTGCCTCCATGGAACATTCTGGTTGCACTTTCTCCAACGCATACTGTGTTCTGTTTGTTCTTTTAGCAGTCAATGGAATATTCAACACTCTTCTTCAACACCACTATTAAAATGCATAGATCTTCTCTTGTCATACTTATTGTCCATCTCTCAGATGCACAGCAGGTAATTGGAAAGACTGTGGCTTGACTCAGGCACACCTTAGTCTTTATAATGACATCATTACTCTTCAGGACTTTGGTGATATCCTTGAGAGAAGACTTTATCAATGCTATTATGTTTCCTGATTTCTTGACTGCTCGTATCAAGGCTGTTGGCTGTGTTTCCAAGCAAAATGAAAGAGTTTACAATTTTAATCTTTTCCTCCTCTACCATGATGCTGTCTATTGATCCAATGGTGAAGGTTTTTGTTTCTTGATATTAAGATGCAATCCATATTGAAAACTATAGTCTTTGATCCTCTGCAGCAAGTGCTTCAGACCTTCCTCACTTTGAGCAAGCAAGGTTGTGTCATCTGCATAGTGCTGGTGATTGATGAGTCTTCATCTGATCCTTAGGCCACACTCTTCTTTGTAAACAAGTCCAGATTCTTGGATTATTTACTCAGCATGTAGATTGAGTAGGTATGGAGAAAGGATACAGTACTGACACATGCCTTTCCCAATTTTTAAACCATGCAGTGTTCCCTTGAGGACAACTTTTTGGTCTAGGTATAGATTTTACATAAACACAATTAAATGTTCTGGGAAATTTTCCCTTCTCAAATTAATAATTTGAGAACCACTGTAACTTTTAAACTCAGTTTGAACTTCTGGAAGTTCTCTGTCAATGTACTGTTCTAGCTGTTTTTTTGGATGATCTTCAACAATATTTTCCTTGCATGTGATAGTAATGACATCATTTGATAATGTCCACATTCTGTTGGATCACTTCAGACCTATAAAGTGACAATAAGGCTTTTCCTCCTAGAATAGCCAACCATTCCCAAACAACTATGAAATATCATCTCACCCCAGTAAGAATAGCAACATTTAACAGAACAGCAGGCAGCGAGTGGAACCCTTACTCACTGTTGGTGGGAGTGTAAAATGGTGCAACCACTATGGATGGCAGTATGGCACTTTCTCAAAAAGTTGAAAATAGAAATACCATTTGACCCAGCAATTCCACTACTGGGAATATACCCTAAAGAAACCATAACTGACACCCAAGTAGATATATGCACACCCATGTTTATCGTGGCTTTGTTCACAATAGCAAAGAGTTGGAAACAACATAAGGGCCCCTCAACAAACGAATGGATAGAGAAGCTGTGGTATAGTCACATAATGGAATACTATGCTGCATTGAAAAACAAGGAACTCATGCTATATTATTCAAAATGGATGACCCTGGAGGACATTATGCTGAGTGAAATATCTCAGCACAAAAGGACAAATACTGCATAGTGCCATGGTTGTAAAACAAGACTGACCTTTGGGTGGGCGTGGGGAAGACTGAGAAAGATGGTATGAATGATGTTTCATTGAAAAAGATGAGGGAGAAAACTGTTTAAAAGGGATATGTGATTAGGTATTATTGTCATGACAGGAGTCCAGAAGGAAGGCTGTATAGTGGAGAGTTTCTGTGGGGAGGGATTGTATAACAATAAAAGAGTTTTTCTTTTACTTTTCAGGGAGAGGAGTGAACTGGGGAGGGGGTGGACAGGGAGAAAAGTGCAACAATGAATGAATGAATGAAAAGCCAAAGTGTCTGTAAATTTTCATTAAAATTAATAATAATAATAAAATAAAAATAAATTTTAAAAAAGAATAGCCGACCATCCAAGGTCAAAAGAGAACATTTGCCCAAGGATAAAGTCCTGAAGACAGGAAGGTGTAGGATAGAAGGATTAACAGAAATGAGGATTATAGAGAGAAAGTGGGAAAGATGAAATTGCACTGTGGGTAGCTGTGAGTAGTGCAATTAATGACTTAAAACATCTCTGAATGGTTGAATGCAAAATCAGTTTGCTTCATAAACCTTCACTCAAACCACAATACAAAATTAGATAAAAGTTTACAACCTTGGGCGAGCTCTGGTGACCCAGTGGCAAGAAGCTGCACTGCAACCCCTGAGGTGCGCGGTTCGAATCCACCAGATGCTCTGCTGAGAAGGTGGGACAATCTCCTCCTGTACCAATCTGATCTGGTTTGATGGTACACACACAAAAATAATAAAAATGTTTTTATTTTAAAAAAAGCTTACAACCTTGGAAACCCAATGGAATTGATCCAATGGCAACTCGTTACAATGTGATATCGGACCAAAGTAGAAATGTTTAGGGGAAGGTGTTACTTGATGGGGTTTGTGGGGAAAATGCTTTGCCCTTTCTGAAAGGACTACTTCTCTGGAGATCTGACTTGCACAATTATTTTGAGGATTCTTCTTTCCACCTCCATTGGTCTTTGCATCTGAAGTCCCTTTGACCTAAGCAAAAAATTCCTTTCTGGTCCTAAGTCCCCCTTCAGCAACACAGAGTCCTGTATTCTCTCCACTTCTCTACAGAGACGTGTTCATCACAGTAACTTGACAGAACTGTCCTATGCGACCTGCAATCTCAAATCCTTCAATCCAAACCTCATTTCTTCCCTCCCTTCACATGTCAGGTCTGAGGCTCCCTCATATCCCTTTCTACACACACACCCTTTGCTTTTCACCAGAATCTCCTCCAACAAACCAAACTTCTCATTCTGTCTTGGCATCTGCTTCCTGAAGGACCTGAGCACCATCTCTGCTCTACAGCTCCTTGTGGGACAGGCTAAAGCACCCACATCCCCCTTCTCCTCCTCTCTCTTAGTGTCCTCACACCTTTGTAGGCATTGCTCCCAAGCACTCTGCAGCAAAATCTCCTCTACCTTAGACTTTAAACCCTGGGAGACCTGTCTTGTGGTGAGGGCTAGCATAATGGCCCTGAAACGGTTATCTTCCATCTGAAACAAGAAATTATTTTCTCAAAGCGGGATACTTTCAGTTAAAAGGAGATTAAAGATGCAGAACTGTACTCTGATGGTTTGAATCCACAAGTTACTCTGAGGGAGAAAGACGGGAAGTCTCCTCCCATGCCATTTACAGTTTCTGAAAACTGGGGGGAGGGTGTGTGTGTGGGTGTGTGGGTGTGTGTGTGTGAGAGAGAGAGAGAGAGAGAGAGAGAGAGAGAGAGAGAGAGAGAGAGATGAGATGGCGCTTACGCGAGAGGGCGCTATTACTTGGTTCCAACTCAGGAGCTCTGGTGGCCTAATGGCAAGAAGCTGCGCTGCAATTCCCAAGGCACACAGTTCAATTCTACCAGCTGCTTCACAGGAGAAAAACGGGTCATTTTCTCTCTTGACATTCACTGCCTCTGAAAACCCACCAGAGGGCCCACTATGGGTCAGTTACAAGTCGATGGTACACAACAACAGCAACAACAACTCGAAGACAAAGAGTATGGGTGAAATCGACTTCTGCTTTTCTGTGTGAGCCAACAAAGACACAGAGGGCCTTGTGATTTCTCAAGTTCATGGTCAGAAAGGCTTCTGGACACAGATCCAAGGCGAGGTCCTGAGTGAGAGCTCATACCTGTAGCACGACTTGCTCCGATCATCCTCGCTCGGATCAATCCCTGTCTTATGTTTGTTCTTACTAATTTAACCTTTTCCCGATAATCATCCAGCTGGTAGTATAGGTTTTCTTTCAGATCATCTGAAAAAAACAAACAAACAAACAAACCAAGATGATAATTTGTTAAACTGCTATTATATAAATGAAAGCCATTTGTCACAATTCTGTTTAATTCCTAAAAGCTATGCTGTTGTTGCTATTGTTGTTTACCGTCGAGTCTGAACCGGCTCATAGCTGACCCTCTCGTGGGTTTTCAGAGGCAGTTAATCGCAGGGGAGGAGATTGCCCAACCTTCTCCTGAAGAGCAGCTGGTGGCCTTTGGGATTGCAGTGCAACTTCTTGCCACTAGGCCATCAGAGCTCCCTACTTCACAGAAATTCCAGCTCTTACAGGGGGCCCTAGTCTGTAGGGAATTATACTGCTAAACCAAATACTGGTGGTTCAAATCCACCAGCAGCTCTGAGTTTGAGAAAGTTGGTTAATCTGTACTTTTTACCCTTGAAACTCAGTGGAGGATTAACAATGAGTTGATTCTAACTTGAAAGCAATGAGAGAAAGAGAGGAAAAGAAAAAAGTGTTCATGATTTAAGTCAGATATGAGTCCATTTCTTAGTCAAATATCTTTAATTTAATAGAAGTTTAATGGAAAATTTACTGGGAAAAGCCTGAATTATGGAGCTTTGGAGCAATCTGATTTTTACCTTTAACTGTCCTAATTGTGCCATAACTGTGCTTCAATTTTGCAATCGCTCTTGGGTAAATTGTCTAAGTCTCAGTGTTCTTCTATCTTTGATGTTCATTGCAGGGTTGCAGTAAGAGGGAGAAATACATCCTCTGTCCCTGGCAGCCTTAGGATATGAAAGGGAATATGAAAATGGTGACTCTCGGGGTGCTACAAGCAGTGCTCACCAAAAGGTTGGAGGTTTGAGTCCACCCAGAAGGCTGGAGATCCACTTCCAAGATTTAACCCTTAGAACAGTCCTACAATGACATACGTGCAGGCCACCATGAGTCAAAGCCCACTGAGTGGCAACTGGTTCCTGGTGTATGAAAACCAGAGAGGAGGCCAGGCCAGGTGAGGTGGACATGGGTGCTTCAGAGCTCGAAAGTGTTGTATCTCAGAAATCTGGATCAGAAGTCTGGGGGTAAATGAGTTAGCATGGTGGAGGAGAGACCTTCTTCCTGTCCAAACCATGGATGGATGGATGTCTCTGTCCAGCAGCAGCAGTGCAGGCTGCCAGCTGCTCTTGCAGTGTAGGAGCCACACCTGATCCTGATGGGCTAGGGGCACGGTTCTAGACTCCTTTCCTCCTGACACCGGGACAGCTGCAGCTTACCCTTCTGAACCCAGGTTTGATGTTATTTCTTCCTGATAGCCTCTTAGGGGCACTAACCACCCGTCAGACTGACCCCCTTCAATACAGGCCAGGTCTTAACACATTCTCCTGAGAGCTGATAGCACCTACCAGAGTAATAATTTTTTTAATAAAAAAATTTTATGTTGTAAATTAAAAACTCAGGCAATCACGAGGCCTGGGACTGCCTGCATAGTAGATTAGCTGGCTTATTATTGTTCCGCCTTACCGAAGTCACTCTTGTCATCTACCAAAATAATTTCTTCCAGGAGGTGGTGTGGGGTGAGGTTTATCACACTCAATATTGTTCGAAACAAGGCATAAAATTCTTCATTATGGAAGCAAATAATAACACTGGCAGTTGGTAGATTTTTTGGGTAAAATTTATTAAGACACCTGTAGGGCAAGAATAAGAGAAAGAAAATGATTCATTTAAATGTCTTAAATGTGTGGGAGTAGAATTGCATCACCACCACTCTTCAGTTTCCTTTTTTCTCTCCTTATGCTTTCAAGTGTATTATAATAATTTATAATAAGGTGAAAGGCATTTAAAAACAGAAAATAAAGATACAGAAATGTCTTTAACATCTTACTTTGCTCTAATATTTTAAAAATCATTTCCCCTTACCAGATAAACACTCACTACTTAGACCAAAACCATGTAGAATCCAAGGAGCAGCATTTTCTGAGTGACAAGGCCCGAAAGGCAGGAAGGGGTAGACCAGCAGGATAAATGGAACGAGAGTTCAGGGGCAAGTGGGGACACTGCAATAGCATTATTGGTACACTGTAATTAATTCCAGAAAACAAAATATGTGTGAGGATTAATTGAAAAGTTAATTTGCTTTATAAATTTTCACTCAAATCACAATTAAAAAAGATAAAATATCCAAATCTAATACATTTTTAAAAAAGAAATCATTTCCCCTTTCTTAATACTATCAATAGTTGTTCTTTCCTGAGACACCTTCTGAGTTCTTATTATTTCAGGTGTGTTTTAATCAGCATCTAAGCACAAGTAGTATTTTGGTTTCTGTGGTGGCAACCATAAATGGCAGATGGTTCAAATCCATGAGGTAACGATAGACAACCTCCTCCAGTCCAGTTTTGCTAAGTGCATGCAGGGCTGATGTATGTATTAGACAACAGAGCCAAGCATTGGAAAGATCTGAACAGAAGAGAAACAGGGGAAAGTGCAGCTCCCCCCACCCAGGGCTTGAAGCACTGACTTTGCAGAGGCAAACAGGGAAACACTCAAAGGTCCAAATTTTCATTAAAGACACTGAGTTGTTGGAGAGGAAATAGATGTATTTTAGAAAAAGAAAACCCAAACCAAACTTGAACTTGAGTAATGTGCAACCTCTTTTTGAAGAGTAAATAAGGTTTCAACCTGCAGAATCCTCTGCAACCAAGCTCATTGTAGTTCATGAGACTCCTGGTGACTACGGACAGAGTCTAGAGTCGAGCTGCCCTGTGGGTTTCTAAGGCTGTGATCTTTATGGGAACAGACTTCTTCATCTTTCTTCCACGGAGTAGTTAGTGGGTTTAAGCCACTTGGCTTTCAATTAATGGCTCAACACTTAAGTCACGGCACTACTAGGACCCCTTGTTTCAGCCTCTAGAGTTGATTTAAATTACTTGAATGTTTCTGAAACATGTATAAACAAGCAAGCAAAATCAGGTAGGAATCCATTGTATTTATCAGTTCTTAAGTAAGTATAAACCAAATAAAAATAATGCGACATGAACTATTGGTCTCTCTCTGTCTGGAACAAAAAGGGAAATAAAAGCAAAAATGTACTGAAGCAATGAGTCCAAAGGAGGAAGGGACAGGGGGTACCCCGACAGCTGGGACCCTGAGACCAGGAGAATCAGATGGTGCTCAGCTCTCTCATTTGACCACTCCACAGAAATCTTGGATGAAGTGGGGGAAACCTGGAATATAGCTCAAAAACTCACGAAGGGCAGGCCTCCTGGTTCATCAGAGACTGGTCACCCTTCAAGCCTGGAACAAAACTGCCCCCCTCTGGCTTAACTTTCAGCAAAACAAGAGACAGGTCTATAAGGTGACCAACAACACCAGAGAGGCATTCACTCCTTAGAATACCAGCCATATATAATGTCAGATAAGAGTGTTTGCCAAGAATAAAATCCTGAAGGAAGGAAGGGGAAGAATAATGGATCAACCAAAATGAGAATACAACAAGGCTGTGGGAGGGGTGTAATTATATTGTGTGAACTGTAATGAAAATAAAGGATAATGTGTATGTCTGGTTGAATGAAAAATCAATTTACTTTTCAAACTTTCACTCAATTTCCAGTTAAAAAGCTAACACACACAAAAAAGAAATGTAAATACAGCTAAAATCCAATTAAACAAAAAAAAAATATAATTTCAGGTTGTATTTTGTTGAAACAAAAGCACCACACTTGCACGCATTGAGTTTGCATCTGTTTGACATAGTTTGTATATGAAGTCTTCCACTGTTTTTTTGTCATTCAGCTGAAACTGGGTGACGAAGACAGGCTAGCATCTAGTATATACACACACTGATTTTCTGTTAAATACAAGTAGGAACACAGAATCTAAAAACCCTCTTGGATGATTTGTCCGTTAACTCTTATTGTTGAGTCTGAACTGAAGCATCGCTGACCCTCTGGCACGTTTTCATAGGCTGTAGACCACATAGAAGAGATTGTCCATCTTTGGGAACAGCTGGTGGATTAGAATTACTGGTGAGGTGCCGTCTTTGAGCACAACTGCCTATGAACGACACTCCCAGAGCTCTCCTTATTGGATGATCTGTAGACCTCTAAAAATACTTGAATGGATTTCACTTGGGAAACATTGGTATAGACTGATGTAATTTTTTAGTCTATGGGCTCAAATGTGTCAGAGATGATGAGGATGGCACAGGCTAGGACAGGGTTCAGCTCTGTTGCTCATAGGGTCTCTATGAGTTATATTCAGACACCTAACAACAACAACAACGACAACAACAATTTAGTCTACACATCCCCCCCCCCTCCACCACACTCGTCAGGAGACAGGAGGTGAAACACTAAGAATTAGCAAATTAGGCAGCAATGCCTCACATTCACACAGCTCAAGGTCAAGTGTCAAAATCATTGCTGTTGAGTCAGAACCAGCTCATAACTGACCCTCAAATGAGTTTTTGGAGGTTGTAAATAGCACTGGAAGAGAGCGCCCTTCTTTCTCATCTTTTCCATTGTGCTGCTGGGATTCCAACTGCCAGAGAAATGTGGCTTCTCAGCTAACAGGGCAGCTCTCTACAGACTATGTCATCAGAACTTGAATCAGATATATCAAAGCCAAAAAATTAAAAGACAGTAACACTGCAATGTCTTGGAGGCAAAAGATAACTTGAAATCACTGACAAAAATGAGTAAAAAAAAAAAAAACAAAATCAAGACAAGATGGGTCAAAAATGTCACCAGAAAAAAAAAAAATGTCACCAGAATGTACATAACCAGAAAATCTTTCGGAGGAAGAATTGTAAACTTACTGATTAGGAATGCAAAAGAATGAGAGCTGAGGAAATCACAAACAAAAATCAGGAAAATGTAGATGAAACACCACCACAAAGAGAATAACAGCAGCAGTACAAGACAAAAGAAGCAAAGGAAATGGAAAATGAGAAGCAATACAGGCCAGAACTGAAATCCAGAGTATTAACAGTAAAATTTCAGAAATAAGTAAAACATTTGCTCACTCATTCACAGCCACAAAGTTCAGTTCTAACTTAAAGCAATCCTCCATCAGATTTCAAATGCTGTGGATCATAGCAAGAGGAGACTGCCCGTCACACTCCTGCAGAACTTCTGGTGGTTTGAACACCTGGAGAGGCATGGCCTTTGAGTTAGCACTGCAACTCACCACGGATTACACCAGAGCTCCCTATAATGCATTAGAAGAATGGGAATTCCAGAACACTTAATTGTGCTCATCACTTAATTGTGAAATCTGTATATAGACCAAGAAACGGTCATTCAAACAGAACAAAGGGATATTTTATGGTTTAAAACAAGGAAAGATGTGTATCTGGGTTGCATCTTTTCTTAATACTTATTCAATCTGTTGTTGTTATGTGCCGCTTAGCCAACTATAACTCATAGTGACCTACAACAGCCCTGAACCCTGCTCTGTCCTGAGCCAGTCTCACTGTCTCTGACACACCTATCTTCATTATCCCAGTTATTGTGTCAATTCATCTCATCTGGGGTCTTCCTCTCCTGCGCCGTCCCTTGACCCTTCAAAGAATGATATTCTTCTCCAAAGACTCATCCATTCTGGCTGTATGCCCAAGGTAGGTGAGACAGAGTCTCAAAAGCTTGCCTCCAATGAGCAACTTGGTTTCACCCTCTCCTGGATAGATTTGTTAGTTCTCTTGGCAGTCCATGGTATAGTCAATATTCTTCTCCAGCATCACAACTCAAAGGCATTGATTCTTCTGTCAGCTTTGGTCATTGCCCAGCATTCTGATGCATAGCAAGTAATTGCAAAGACCATGGCCTGGGTCAGGCACACCTTAGTCTTTAGACAGACATCATTGCTCTTCAGCACTCTGGAGAGATCCCTGACAGCAGGTTTTTTCAAAGACAATTCATTTTTTAGATTTCCTGATTGCTGGTGCCAAGAGTGTTGATTCAATCTGTACACTGAACAAATAATTCAAGAAGCTAAACTATGTGACAATAAATGTAGTATCGGGATTGAAGGAAGACTTATTAAAAACCTGCATTATGTAGGTGACACGACCTTGCTTGCAGAAACTGAAGAAGATTTGAAGGACTTAACTGCAGAAGATAAAATATTTCAATATGGGTTACATCTCAACATCAAGATAGCAAAAATTTTTCCCACTGGACCCATAAGCAACAAAATTAAAAGTGGAGAAAAGATTGAAGCTGTCAAGGATTTCATTTTACATTGACTCATAATCATTCAAAAAATCAAAAGACATGTTGCAGTGGGCAAATCTGCTGTCAGGGAACTCTTTAAAATGCTAACGAGCAAGGATGTCAGTTTAAAGACTAGATTCAGGGAGCCCTAGTGGCTTAATGGTAAGGAATTGGCTGCCAATTCAAAGGTATGCGCTTCAAATCCACCAGCTGTTACACAGAAGAAATCATGTGATTTACTGCCTCTGAAGATCCACTGGAGAGTCAGCTATGGGTCTGTTCTGACTCAATGATACACAACAAGAACAACAACATGCCTGATCCAAGCACTTGCAATTGCTACCTATGCGTCTGAAAGTTGGACAATGAGTAAGAAAGACAGAAGAATTGATGTCTTTGAATTGTGGAATTGGAGAAGAGTCCTCAACTCTCCATGGACTGCCAAAGCATGCTCTTTAGAGACAAGGATGGTGACATTTCATCTCACATACTTTGGGCATGTCATCAGGAGGGGTCAGTCCTCTTAAAAAAGATATTATATTAGCAAAAGTAGAAAGTCAATAAAAGAGAGGAAGGACTCTGAGTGAAAAGGCTCAACACAATGACAGCAGTTTGGGTTTGAGCTTGGCAGTGATTTGTGAGGCTGTTCACACCGCTTGTTGGACTAGACGGCGCCTAACAGTAATAGAAACCACTAGAGGGCACTCTTGTTCTTAGTTGTGTAGCTCCAACCCCTTGGACTCTGAATTCTTGGGTGTTCTGATTGATGCTCCCTCAGCAATACAGTCTTCTGAGGTTTGTGTTGTGGTTCTGAGTGTACCCTGAGGGTTTGTTTCCTTTACACCACCATGTGAAGTTTGGGAAAGCTTAGCTTCTGCAGCCAGGTGTGTATGGGCAAGGGTTTTTCACTGGCTGCAGAGGCAGACCTAAGTGATGGTGTCCACATCTTCCTTTCATGGGCAACCCCTACTTGCCAACAGTGTCGCACTGTTAGTAAATAACGAGTCAGTTCTCTACCTCTGAGTTGCCTATCTGAAGCATTTTTCTCATCCAAAGCTTTGGGAAAGTCCAACAGCAATCACTTACAGCATCCTGGGCTCTCTTTGCCCAATTCCAAGTACATGACCCCTGAACTTTCATAGCCATTAAGTACTGCCTTAAAAGTGAGGCTATACCGCTTCAGTTTTTCTCCCATCTGTGTTCTTGGTTTAAGGGAGCTTTGGTGGCCTGAAGAGTTGCATAATACTAACTCAATGCTGGCACCTGGCACCTCTTGGATGATTCGAATCCACCAGCAGGTCTGCAGGGAAAAGATGCACAATCTCCTTCCATGCGTTTTAGTCTCAGAAAGCCTACTGGAGGGCCAGCTGTGAGTTGGTTCTGCCTTGACAGTTGGTTCCGACTTTGACATTTGACTTTGATGGAGCAGTGTGAATGTGCCACCTTTTTTGCTCATTTGATAATTCTTAGTGCGTGTCCCCCCGCCCCCCGCCCGCCTGTTCTGAAAGTTATTTAAAATAACCATTTTTCAATGACTCTCAACGGAAAGGGGCTCAAGAAAATAAAAAAGGGGTGAGCTGTGGTGGCCTAGTAGCAAGAAGCTGCACTGCAATCCCAGAGGAGAGCAGTTCAAATCCACCAGATGCTCTGCTGGAGAAGGAGGGACAATCTCCTGTACCAATCAGATTTGGTTTGATGGTACATACACAAAAAAATAATAAAGAAAACAAAAAAGTTGGATGACTAACACCATCTGATTTCCAGACTCATTCTAAATCTGTAGTAATCAGGATAGTGTGGTACTGGCCTCACAATAATCAAATCAATAAAACAGATCAGAGAGTCTAGAAATAGACCCCATATAGAAGGAAATTAGATTTTGTTTTGAATTGAGTTTTTCAGTATTTTATAAGATGAAATTTGGAGGAAGAAATGAAGATTAAAGTCATAGACAACCAAAGTGACTGATCTTCCTTTATGTGAGTTAAATACTCAATTGAAAAAATTATCCTCTAATTAATTTCATATTATATTCTATGGCTTGTATAAATTGTTTTTTTATTAAGACCTGTTGTTGTTATGTGCCGTCGAGTCGCTTGTGACTCATAGCAACCCTACGTACAACAGCCCTAAACCCTGCTCTATCCCTTGCCAATATTATTGTCTGAAAAACGCCCATCCCCATTATTCCAGTGATGGAATCAAGCCATCTCATCAAGGGTCTTCCTCTCCTACGCAGCCCCTCCACCCTCTACCGCATGACGTTCCTCTCCAAGGACTGGTGACTCCTTGCAACATGTCCAAAGTATGTCAGACAAAGCTTCAAAATCCTTGCCTCCATGGAGCAGCTAGGATGAACTCGTTTGTTCTCCTAGCAGTCCATGGTATATTTAATACTCTTCTCCAGCACCAAAGCTCAAAGGCATCAATTGTCCTTCTATCATCCCTAGTCATTGTCCAGCTCTCTGATGCATAGCAAGTAATGGCAAAGACCATGGCCTATATCAGGTGCACCTTAGTCTCCAGACTGACATCTTTGCTCCTCAGTACCTTGGAGAGGTCTCTGACAGCAGACTTTCCCAGTGCAATTAGTCTTTTAATTTCCTGGCTGCTGGTACCAAGAGTTGATTGTAGAGCCAAGCAAATGGAAGCTGTCAACAATCTCAGTCTCTTCACTGTCTATCATGATGCTGCCAATTGGTCCAGTGGTGAGAATCTGTTTTTTTGATGTTGAGCTTCAATCCATATTGAAGGCTGTAGTCCTTGACCTTCCGCAGCAAGCACTTCAGGTTCTCCTCAGTTTCAAGCAGGGTTGTGTCATCTGCATAATGCAGATTGTTGATGAGTCTACCTCCGATTCTGATGCCACACTTCTCATACAGCCAGCCTTCCGTATCTAGATAGGTTATTTCACACGTACAAACACTGCATCTCTTGAATAAGTCCTAAGATTAATGGTTTAGAGGTAAGAAGTTGTGCTGCTAATCCAAAGGAACGTAGGTTTCAGATCCACCAGGTGCCCTTTTGGGAGAAAAAGGGACAATCTCTTCCTGCATGATTAACGGCCTCTGAAAACTCACTGGAGGGTCAGCTATGAGTTGGTTTTGACTTGATGGTACACAATAACAAAAACAATAAATGTAATTGATTCTTACAGTGTGGTGTTGCACTCTTTATGCAACAGAAGTGGGAAATGTGGGCCCACTTTATCTTATTTCCTGACCCAAGCCTTGCCTTTTCATTACTAGAAGTTGCCCATTTTCTAAAATTTAAATACTTTTCCTTCATTTAAGGGAGAATAGCCACCTCTTTAGCAGCAAATCAACAGAAGTTAATAAAAATATATTAACACAAACAATGGAATAATGGAGAAAAGTAGACCTGGGAGTAAAGTGAGGTAGGTGTCCAAGACATTCTAGGTGAAATATCTTTAATGGTTATTTTAGAAAAAAATTACTTGTGAGAGACTCAATTCAGGGAATATATTCTCTACACTATAAGTTCTAGAATTTTGAAATAAGATCTTGAGATCATATGATTGCAAATCTTTAAAAATCTCCCATATGCTAATATGCTAAAATTAAAACATGGCCAATAATTATTTCTTTCCAAAATTAATAGGAGTAACATACATTTTATGTCTGGTATCTGGCACACTTCTCTCCTTGCCCAAGCTTCTACTGGCACCGGTATTGAATCCATACGTGGTCAGTTTTTTAAGATCTAGTTGTGAATAGTTAAAATTCTGAACTGAAAGAAAAGATAATTAACGTTAGGCATGTACAGTTTACTATCATTACACTGATGCAGGATAGCAGAATTCATTCCCTTTATAATAAAATTCAACAAATTTTTTAGAACCTAAACTAATCTCAGAGATGAGAAACTTTCCTCTTTTTAAAAAATGTTAGTGTGTGTGTGTGTGTGTGTGTGTGTGTGTGTGTGTACCGTCAACTCAGATTTGACTAGTACAGGAGATTGTGCCTCCTTTTCTAGCAGTGCATCTGGTGGATTTGAACCATGCACCTCTGGGATTGTAGTGCAGCTTCTTGCCACTAGGCCACCTTAGCTTCCCTCAGAGATGAGAAGGTTGAAAGTGAGAACCAGAAGTTTTTGCACAAATCAAAGTATATTCCAGAGCAAAGTATAAATAACTAGCTCCTTTCCAGTCATTTATTCTACCCAGGGAAGGACGATTAAAGAAAGAGAACAGAATCTCCTCTCTTAAATTTCCTTTAGAGAGAATAAAACAGGAAAACAAAACATATCGAAAACAAAAATAAATGAAGTCAGAGGGCATTTTCTGTTAAAAGACAAAAATTCTTGGGCAGAAATAAAAACAAAAATGTAATCACAAAAGAGAAATAAGCTGAACTAAAATGGTTAAAGATTAAGACATGATCAAAGACAATGAGAAATTGAAAAAATGGGGAGAAACATTATATAAAAAGTTTTATAGTACTAAGAGATATGCAGCCTCCAGAATGATGAACTTTATGAAGAAGAATGTGGCATCAGGATCTAACAAATAATGCGCATCTGTCTTATGCAGATTACACAACCTTTCTCACCAAAACTGAGAAAGACTTGAAGGATTTGCTGCAAAAGGTCAAAGATTGCAGCTTTTAGTAGAGATTGCATCTCAACATCAAGAAAACAAAGATCCTCACCACTGGATCATAAGGCAGTAGTATCTTGATAGATGGAGAAAGGATCGGGGTTGTTGATTATTTAATCTTGCTTGGATCTACAAACAACACTCTTGGTACCAGCAATCAGGAAATCAAAAAAGGAGTTGCTTTGGGAAATTCTGCTGTCAATGACCTTTCCAGGATGTTAAAGGGCAACGATGTCAGTTTGGAGATTAAAATGAGCTTGATCCAAGCTATGGTCTTTAAAATTGGTTGCTATGTACCTGAGAACAGTGAATGAGGATGACAGAAGAATAATCAATGCTTTTGAGCTGTGGTGCTGGAGAAGAGTTTTGAACATATCACGGACTTTCAAGAGAACAAATACATCTGTCAGCAAGAGGGTGAAACCAACTTGCTTCTTGGAGGCAAATCTCAAATCTCTGTGCAATATATAATTTATTCATTGCAAATACATTGTACAAAAAACATAAACATAGGCTATACACATGGATTTCACCTGATGGTATGTAATCAGATTGATTACATCTGTGTGAAGAATTGTTGGAGAAACTCAGTATCAGCTGTGAAAACTAGGCCAGGTGCTAATTGTGGAACAGACCACCAAATACTCATATGCAAGTTCAACCTGAAGCTAAAGAAAATGAAATCAAATCCACAGGAAACAAAGTTTAACATTGAGTCTATCTCACTTGAATTTCAAAACCATCTCAGGAACAGGTTTGAGGCCTTGAACACTAATAAGTGAAGAAGACCAGATGAGCTGTGGGAGGTTATCAAGAATATCACCCAGGTAGAATGTGAAAGGTCATTATGAAGAGAGAGGAGGATGAAAAGACCAAGATGGATGACAGATGAGACTCTGAATATTGCACAAGAGTGCCGAGAAGCTAAAGCAAAGGGAAGAAATCAAGACATTAAGGAGGTGAAGAGATTTCAAAGGGCAACATGGAAAGACAAAGTAAAGTATAATGAAATGTGCAAAGAGCTAGGGTCAGAAAATCAAAAGGGCTGAATTCAGCACTTATCAACAATTAGAAATCAATACTCTTCCTGGCTCTGGGGTGCAAAGAAGACTAAGAAACATTCCGACTTTTGGTAAATTTTGAGACATGGACACCTAACATCAATGCAATGTGGGACATGTGCTGTTACAGGTGTGTGCCGTGAGCGGGGTAATGCAGGAGTGGAAGGGGAGGCACCTAGTCCTACCTGGTGGGGTCATGGAGGAATGGAGGTTTACATAATACATAAAAGAATACTGGACAAAAGGAGCAAAGATGCAGAAAAGACAAGGAAAAGTATGTGAAGCTGTTGCTGTGAAGAAGTAGAGAGAGGTGAATCTGAAGCCAGATCCCTTGAGTCTAGAGCAAGAGAGCTGCCCTGAAACGGATTCCAGAAAGCCCATGTATCAGACTCGTGTAGGTCAACACAAGTTCCAGGAGGATTTCTTTATAGGTCACCATGGGAAAGGAATTTTGTAGAAACAAGCCTGAAAGCTGAGCAGCAAACCCAGCAGGATACCTGCAAGATCTATATAACAGAGGCAATGCCTGAGGTGGGGCTGGGTGCAGAAGCAGAAGAGAGGGGCAAGCAGCCCTTCATGACAAAGGAGAATTCAAAGTCTGTCAGACCTGAGAGGTGGAGGTACCTTGTGGATTCATAATCTGAGCAATTCCCTGAAACAGTGACTAAAAAACCAAGACTTTCTGTTTTTGTTTATATCATGATTATCCCTTAAACATATCTTTCGCATGAACACAACAAATTATTAATCTGACAAATTGTTCATTAAAAAAAACAAGTCTAGTCCTGCCTCCAAATATTTTTCTTTGAGGATTAGTTTTATATTTCCTTTTAAAAATGATCTAGCATGTGTATATACACAAATATATATAATTTACTGTTATTACTGGAAATGGTAGTATATTGTTAAATAACAGTTTTGCATTTAGTTTTTTCTATTTTGCACATAGTAATCTTAGCCTGTCCCATGAAAGTACAAAGAGCATTTTTATTCTTTTTTTTTTAAAAAAGAACTTTATCATGATTTGCCAGTTTTTTTATTAGTGAACATTTATACCTAAAGAAAGAATCTTTTGTTATAATAAATAATGCTCAAATAAATACACTTGTAAAAAAATGATCTAGCAAAATGACATCATGGGATATTAATTTTTATTCTTCCTATTTCACATTCCTTTGAAAATTACTTTACTCATGTTTGGTTGGAACCCGGTATTGCCTGGAGGGGAATCAAATTTGGTGAATTAGGAGAGAAAAGGAAAAGTAATCAATGTTCTATTGTTCATTTACATAACCAAACATACTAGGAAAAAAGAGGAGTCCCTCTCTTGTTCTTTGTAAGACAGAGGAGGGTCAGGTGACCCCAAAGGTTGTGGAGGAAAGGAAGTGGCCTCCTCTCAACCTTAGAATTTCAGGGTCAGAAAGGGTCACCTTGGGCAACCAATCATCCAACTCCCAAATCTTTTCTTCTAAAAGCAAAATCCAGTAAAATTTGAGTGAGTTTCTCAAATAACTGATAGTGTTCTTGGTAGACTTTCTGCCTGAGAATTGGAGACGTATTTTCATTTTTGCTATGGAAAAAAATCTTTCTATAATGTACACCTCACTATCCTACCTTGGTAAGTGCAGCTTATTGGTAACTTAATAATTTTAATTCAATGTCTTTGATAACTATGCTTGGAGATGAAAAAAGTTGCATTCCGACTTGTGGCAACCCCAAGTATTAGAGGGTGGAATTGTGTTATCAACTGCTGTGACTTTTTAGAAAGAGATTATCGGGTCTCTTTTTTCCTGAGACACTGGTTGGTTGTTAGCAACCAAATACATAAACCAGAAGTGGGGAAGAGGTTATTAAGTGAGTGATAAAGAACTGTAAAATAAATATATATGATCTGTAAAATAAATATGTATGATCTCTATTTTCAGATAAGTGTAATTAAGTGGAGCATGAAAAGTTAGAAACATGAAAGACAAGAATTCCAAAATATACAATATCAGAGGACGCTCCAGGGAAAAAAGTATCTTGTCCTTAGAATTCATTAATAGAACGTCCATTGAGAAGACCCACGTTTCTTGCTGGCTGATGCACCTCAAGTGTGGCCATCGGTCACCTAGCAGTGCAGGTCCATATGATGCTATAATGCTGAGTCTCGGGGGACCTTGTCTGGTGATCTACGTCTGAAAGCCAGCCAACAAAAACCCTCTGAGTCACTAATTCCATTGTGTATGAGGTCACCATGAAGTGAGTGCCAACTTGATAGTAGCTAACGATAACAACTAGTTTAGATGGCTTGTGTGCAGTTGCCAAAATGGCAAAATGTAAGCGTTCAGAGTAGAGATCTAAATAGGAACAGAAAGAGCTGTAAGAGGCACTATGTGGGAGAGAAGACATAAGTTCCCAGCTCTTGGTGAGGATAGCTCCATTCATCACAGCACACTAGGCGCTAGGGATTGTGTTAGGCTCTGGGATGCAAACCAGAACCACGGTCCCTGTCCTCCTTTGTAAGTGCAAATAAACTGCAAAAGAAAATAGGAGCCGCTGTTGCTTTTATCACTCATCAGAGTCATAAAGATTTAAAAGATGGATCTTTGTGCTTGCTATGATGACACAGAGAGAGCAACTTAGTGGTGTCACTAATAACACAATCTTGCTTTCACAAAATGAAGACTTGAGGCACTGTTTGGGTAAGGTTCTGAGAAAGCCTTCAGCATGGATTAAAATTAATAGAAGGGAAAAATACTGCTCCTAGCTGGACAAATAAGCAACATCTTGATAGAGAAACTTAAAGTTGACAAGGGTTTAACTTTATTTATATCTACAATTTTTAAATGATACCTTGTATTGGGAAAATCTGCTACCATGATTAAAGGGTTGAAGAACAATATTAAAAATACATTAAGACAGATACCCACCAATTCAGGGTAGTGAATCCCTCTTGGGTTACAGGTGAAAGGAAGGGGGTGAGGCTTTAAGTGTAAGTTCTTTTTTTTTTAATGCAAACTATCTGATATAAATAGAACAAACTTTTTAAAAAAACTTTCATTTGCTTGATGAGTACTTGTGTTATTGTTTTAAACACATGTATTTAAATATTTTGTCAATATTTTAATTATTATTCAAAGAAGAATATACTTTTACATATGAAAATGCTAAATTAATGCTGCATTTTCCTCTCTAAATAACGATCAGAGAAGATACAAATACTTACGAAGTTGAAGAGATACTTTTAGTTCTTGCAGTTCATCTCCGGGGTCTATGGCTGGTATTTGCTCTGGGTCTACTCTGTATTGCTCATGCATAGCTTTTTCTGGGGACCAAATTGATTCAGGTGTATTGATTGGATTGTGATTGTCTTCCCGACTATACAGAAGGTAAATAAATACCAGCGCTGTGCAGGTCCCAAATACAAGGAACAAATATTTAACTGCAACATTTCTCATTGTAAACCTAATATATTTTGAAGCACTCTTTTCCATTTCCTAAATCAGAAAGATATTAAAAAATTCTATTAGAATCTACTTAACTTGAATTTTATTTTCAGTGCTTTTAAGACAGGGTAACTTTATTATTGTTCTATTATATAATTAGATGACATAAAGTGTTTTTTCTATTCATTAGCAAAAATATCTTAAAACTGATATTCATAAGATTACTCAACAGTTCCATGATGCATCTTCAAGGATATGAACATGTATGGCTAAGCACAATTGATAACAGTGCATCTAAATTCCAAAATCAATCTCCACAATAGTGTACATGTTTTCTATTCCCAAAGGGGCCCCTTAGAGTAGTGAGAGAAGATCTTCACCCTGAAACCTACAGCGTCCCTTTTCAGCAGGAAGTAGCTAAGAGAATACGCCATCCCCTTTTCCTTATGAATCAGGGTGAAGTCTCTCTCAGGGAGGAGTGATAGGGAATGGCAAAGGACACACTGACAAAGGAGATAAATGGCTTTGACAAGCACTGTGGCAATGGAACAATTAAAACAGACTTTCAAGGAAAAGAAAAAGAGGAACGAACTGGGGGGGTTAGAGAAAATAGTGCAACAATGAATGAATCGAAATCCAAAATATCTGTAAATGTTTGTTAAAATTAATAAAACAAAATTGAAAATGAAAAAAAGGAAAAAATCTTAAAAATGATATAAAATTAATGTCAAAATTTATAATATGCTTATAAAGTATATATATTACCATTCAATATATATTTCTATATTTATTAATATATATATTACCATTTAAAGTCATTAGCCTATCCTCTGAATGTCTAACTTGGACATGACAATGTAGGTCTTTATTGAAAAACCTGATCTGACACCAATCTAATGGTTACAATGCCACATAATGGAGGAAAAGTGAACCGTAAGAACTCTAGTCCACTGAAAATGGAATTGAAAACTGGTGCAACTATTTCAGTAATTTTTTTATTAACTCGAACATATACATATTGTATATGGAAGCAGTTCCATCACTACCAATCCGCCTTACAGGGATGCTTATATGTATTATTCCACACGTCTAAGGAAATCTGTATAAGAATGTTAAATGATCACGCATGCAAGAATCAACTGTGAGACCAGAGGCACCACCAAAGGACGGTGTTCCATGGCAGAGAACACCCCAGTTACCAAAGTCAACAGGAATAGGCGAGGGAGAGCATCACTAAGTTCAAAAGTGATTTTCTTCTTAAAGTCAGGACTGACAGGAAGGGGATGCTGTTGCCAAGCGTGGCTCTTTTATAGCCGTAGGGACAGTGAGGGCTTGATGCGATAGAGGCCAGGTGACAGTGCAACTGTCAGGAGTGAGAAAGTCACAATTATCACTATACGTGGCAGGCTCAGAGTGACAGTCACTTGACAAGAACAGTAGTAGAGATAGTTATTAGACTCTAATCTCTTTAGGAGCAAAATACACAGCTTGTCAGCAAGGGCACAACAAATAAGTATGACAATGGCTATTGAAGTGAAGCTTGGAATAATGAAACATCAGATCATCCTAACTTTACCTCAATAAGAGAATTGATAAAGTGAGACTATGTATTCAACTAGGGAAATGAATCAACTGAAGATGGGTGTGTTAGTATTAGGAAACATTAACAACTTTGCTTAGCAAGAAAACCCAGCAAAGGTGTGTTATTACTTACATAAATTTACAAAATATGAAAAATTGCAGTTGTCTAAGAATATGTAACAAATGCATGAAAAACTATGCATGTGAATAACTGTTCTGAGGGTGTTATTGAAGCACAGGGAAAAGGCAAAGAGAGAGTGAAGGCGATGACTTACCAGTTTAAGACCAAGTGTCAAAATGAGAAGGTCTTCTTTAGGAGCACACAAAGGAACCCTATCTCTGACAAGGAAAGAGCAAAAAAGCTGAGCACCGTTGCTGTAACAGAGAAAGGGTGGGTGGGACTCTGCTGAATGGGACCCTGTTGGGTAAAATGCAGTGGAGAATCTTGAAATCCTAGAGTCTTAGACACTCCTTGGGTTTACAGAAATGTCTGCTCCTCTTTACTATAACCCAGCTCTCCTTGGCGTGAAGATAACATAGAGGCCTCTGCTTTACAAGGCGGCACAGGCCTTCTCTCAGAATCTACCTTCAATCTCTTTCCGGCCATCAGAGCAATAACTAGGATCACACATTACCTGATGGGAAAGCGTGAGGCCTACCAGAAGAAGAGAGAGAATATATATATATCTCAAGGGAGCTGAAGAATCTGCCTATCGTGCCATCATGAGCTGGATATGTGTGGGACTGGGTTCTGAAGATACTGGTTCAAAGGAGGTCGAGTCATGGTAATTGAAATACAAAGTTGGATTTCAAACCAATCCAAACCAAACCAAACCAAACCAAACCAAACCAAAGCAAAACAAAACAAAACAATCCATTGCTATCAAGTCAATTCCAACTCATGGCAACCTTCTATTGAGTTTCTGAGGCAACCTGCCAGTGGCTTTCTTAACAGAAGACTACCTATCTTTCTGGATCACATGTAGAGTTGTTGGTGAGTTGAGCTGCCAACTTTTCAGTTAGTAGTCATACTACACCACCAGGACTCTTTAAAGTTACACTAAAACTCAAGTAATTTCCAACTCATAGTGATTCTCCATTGGTTTCTAAATCTACAGATCTATCTGGGATGAGACTATCCGTCTTTCTCCCATGGAGTGGCAAGCAGATGCAAACTACCGGCCATAGTGAATAGCAATCAGGTATGGCATTCACCAGAGCTCCTTAAAGTTACATTGCGGAGTTTGTTGTTGTTGTATGTGCCGTCGAGTCGCTTATGACTCATAGTGACCCTATGTACAACAGCTCTAAACCCTGCTCTATCCTGTGCCAATCGCATTGCCTCTGACACACCCATCCCGATTACCCCAGTCACTGAATCAATCCACCTCATAGAGGGTCTTCCCATCCTGCGCTGTCCCTCCACCCTACCAAGCATGATGTTCCTCTTCAAGGACCAGTCCTTGGTTTAACCCTCTCCAGGATGAATATGTTTGTTTTCTTGGCAGTCCATGGTACACTCAATACTCTGCTCCAGCACCACAGCTCAAAGGAATCAATTCTCCTTCTATCCTTCCTAGTCATTGTCCAACTCTCTGACGTAAAGCAAGTGATTGCAAAGACCATGGCCTGTATCAGATGCACCTTAGCCTCCAGAGTGACACCATTGCTCTTCAGTACCCTGGAGAGGTCCCTAACAGCAGACTTTCCCATCACGATACGTTTTTTTATTTCCTGGATGCTGGTGCCAAGAGTGTTGACTGTGGAGCCAACCAAATTAAAGTTGTTAACAATCTCAGTCTTTTCACCATCCATCCTGGTGCTGCCAATTTGTCCAGTGGTGAGAATCTTTGTCTTCCTGACATTGAGCCTCAATCCATACTGGAGGCTGCAGTCTTTGACCCTCTGCAGCAAGCATTTCAGGTCCTCCTCAGTTTCAGCAAGCAGGGTTGTGTCATCTGCATAACACAGATTGTTAATAGATCTTCCACCAATCCTGACACCACACATCTCCTCATAGAGCCCCGCCTCTCGAATAATCTGTTCTGCATACAGGTTGAAAAGATATGGAGATAGGATACATCCCTGGCATACACCTTTCCCAATTTTGAACCATGCAGTGTTTCCTTGCTCTGTTCTGACGACTGCCTCTTGGTCCAAGTATAGGTTTCGCATTAGCACAATTAAATGTTCTGGGATTCCCATTCTTCTCAGAGTCAACCACAGTTTGTTATGATCCACACAGTCAAATGCCTTTGCATAATCAGTGAAACACAGATAGACATTCTTCTAGTATTCCCTGCTTTCAGCTAAGATCCATCTAACATTAGCTACAATATCCCTAGTACCATGATCCCTTCTAAACCCAGCCTGGACTTCTGGCAGTTCTCTGCTGATGTGATACTCCAGTCGTTTTTGGATAATCTTCAGTAGAATCTTGCTTTCATGTGAAATAAATAATATTGTTCTATAGTTTCCACACTCTATTGGGTCAACTTTCTTTGAGATGGGAACAAATATAGATATCTTCCAGTCAGTTGGCCAAGTGGTTTTTCTCCAGATTTCTTGGCACAACTTGGTGAACACATCCAGAGCAGCATCTGTTAGCTGAGATACGTCAATTGGTATACCATCTATTCCTGGGGCCTTGTTTTTTCTTATTTCCTTCAAAGCAGCTTGAACTTCTTCCTTCATCACCATAGGCTCTTGTTCATATGTTATTTCATGAAATTCTTCTGTGTCTGAAAATTCCTTTCGGTACAGAGACTCAGTATATTCTTTCCGTCTTCTTTTAATGCTTCCTGGATCATTTAATATTCTTCCTAAAGCATCCCTGATTATAGCAACTAGAGGTTTGACTTTATTCTTCAGGTACTTGAGCTTAAGAAATGCTAAATGAATTCGGCCCTTTTGATTTTCCGACTCCAGCTCCTTGCACATTTCATTGTAATATTTTACTTTGTCAACCTGTGCTGCCTTTTGAAATCTTCTATTCAACTCTTTAATATCTTAAATTCTCCCTTGTGCTTTGGCTTCTCTGTGCTCCAGCGCAATTTTCAGAGTTTCTCCAGACATACATTTTGGTCTTTTTTCCCCCTCTTCTGTCTTTGTAATGACCGTTTGCACTCTTCCTGGATGATGCATTTGATATCCTCCCACAACTCATTAGGTCTTTGCTCATTAGTGTTCAAGGCCTCAAACCTGTTCCTGAGATTGTTCTGAAATTCTTTCTCCCTTATTCAGGGATTTAACACAACATCAGGGATCTTTGTCCCACAAGAAAAACTCAT